GAGACGGCGTGCTGAGGGTGCGAGATAGAAAGAGAGAGAGGAAGAGAGAACGAGAGAACAGATATGATACCCAAGAGAGAGGTTTACGCGAATGCGCGCCGGAACATGTGAGATGACGTGTGGTATCGAGTGTTCGACGCTTGAACGCCTCGATGCCTTCCTTCGGGAACGGTAAATATCGCGTGTCGCGGGCAACCATGCAGGAATTCACCGCGTTTTGCCGATAACGCCCGAATTCGGAATACGATTCGCGGATCGACGGATACTCGATGGTTGGTGGCAAGTCTAATACCAAAAACTCCAATACTGAGAAATATTGTTTACTAGCGATGGGCGGTCGCAGCTCGACAATTGGAGACATCAACTTACGTCTTTAATTACAAAATGGTACTGTTTCATGCGACGTTTTAAATTTCGAAACCGAGAAGACAAAGTGTACATTTTTTTAATATAAATTTTTTAAATTATAGCCGCAACTTACCGTTCTGTAGGTGCGTTTTTGACCAGCATGCTTCCCGGGACGTCCTTCGAGATCAACATGAACGGCGTGGATGATATCGAAGAAATTCTCCACAATCGCGACTTTTTTGTAAACTCTACCAGGTGGGACTGTACCTTCGGCACCATTTAACGCCTGTAAACAGAATATACGAAATGATAAGAAATTTAACTTATTATTACGTGTGAATATAATTTAATGTGCAATAAAATGTTACTTGTGTTACTAGCAATAAATAGCAAGATTACGCGATTTTATATTTTCGCGTTCTTTGCCGTGTTACAATTTTAGACAATGCAAATATATAATTTAAGCGATTCGATAATTTATCAAATGTTCACATAAATATATATGTATTTTTTAAATCTCTTCAAGAACTATATTATATTCAAACGCCACCTATTATCTAGAAGGTAACTTCCCTTCAAGTTTCCCAATCGGTAAGCGTGTTTAGGTCACAAGCTGTTACCGACGTTGACCTCAAAAGTCTACTTTATCGACTACTAGTAAATCAGTTTTCTAAGTTATTATCTACTATCGGTAAAATAGACTTCCTTGCTACGCCAATTAAAGGAAAAACTATTAATTACATAATTACAATTTTTGTACACTCCGCAAGTATAAAGTTTTAATAAATCTGGAAAAAACAAAAACAAAATTGAATCAAGCATTGTATCAAGCCAGTATGATGTGCTATCTACGTTTTCCTACATTATCTATATCGTAAAAGAATGGATTTCCGTATTTTAGTCAATGATAGTTATGATTGCAAAGAAGAACTCCTTTTCAATAATTTTGTTCTTATTCTATCATACATAAGATCAGTAAATATTGTCACAATATTGTGGAAAACTATATAATGATACATTTATATTAAAAAAAAGACGAGATGCATTCGCTAGAATTAGAATTTCGCTCAGGCTGATTAAGACAAGTATAGATGCTGGATTTTATCTCGCAGTGCAACCTCCTCCTAATCAACCTTCGTCGTTTCCTATCTCGCCTGCATTAACGGAATTCCTCATTAACCGCGCGAAATTTGTCCTTGTCCGGGCCAGGGTTGAGAACCGCCGCGCGTTCTGCGTAATCTTAATTAATCTCGTCCTAAGTACCGGCATCGCCCGCGGGCATGGTCGCGGTCAGATTGTTCCAGCGAACTTCGCGACCTCAAGAAGTTCGACGCGCATGCGCGACATTATTGTATTTCCCTAAACACCTGTTGAAGGGTAAAGTTGAACTCGTGGAGTTTAGCGCACGGGCTTAAGTGGCTGTGGTCAAGCGGGATAACAATAGCGACGCCTATCCGATCACATTCGCAAACCGGCGTAATCTTCCGAGGGGAAAAATCACCCTCACTCACGAATTAATAATTATCGCTTTCAAATTGCCCTCTTCGAAGCACGGCAGTATTGGACTTAATTCAGAATTCAAACAATTTTCAATCGTCATGTGAATGTTTTATTTGATCGTTTCAAATTTTTATCCCGACAAAGATACAGAACAAAAGTAGATTAGTAGAAAATCGATATTGAATACACATTTATAAATATAAATCCGAACATTTATTCAAAAGTTTGTCAATCAGATAGTCGAACGGGAACTTTTTATCGCGGAATGTGCGTAACATGATATTTCTAAAAATGATTCGTAAAAATGATCACGCAGCGCGTAAACCAAATCTAAATATAAACAGGTTCCACAAAGTAGCTTTTAAATTGACCGCATCTTTTGTTTGAAATTATATTCTGTTATACAATATATTTAACCCTTCGTGCTCACTGAGAATAGAGGGGACCCCTCAAAAAGATGTAAGGCTTTAATATTTCTAAAATCTTTCTTAAAATGGAACTTATAAATCATTTATGTCATTTATCCAAAGTTCAAAATATCTTTTTTTGTACCTTCGGCCGCATATTGTTCCTTGGACGTCAGTCTTTGTGATTTTTTTTTAAATATGTTAAAATTAAAAAGTCCACTGCATTTCCGTATTCTACAATGTTTAAAGTACGTTCAGTAATTTTTGTGATTTTAAAGAACGAAAGCTGTAAATACGGCAATCAATTAAAATGTTAGAGTTATTTCGCATTTTATGTGGCCAACGTAAAATTCTCAAGATGTGTGATCACGAAGGGTTAAAGTACGCGTCAGTGACATCTATCATCTTAGGAATGTCTATCTTGAAATTATTAAGCCTCTTATAAGATTATCAGAAATATAAAAGAACTTTCTGCGATAATTATAATTGTCTTATAGTAGCTTTTAGAGATACTTTTAGATTTTTATTATCATTATATATAGGACTTTTAAATGCGGTAGACACCGAGTACGTACTGCGTCAGAGGATTAAAACGCGGAAGTGCGTGCACGCATACAATAAGTGCCCAACCAAAGGGGCTCAAAGAACTATCGGGGATAAATTTAGCCCTTTATCTCCGAGCTGCCCTCGCTTCGCGTTACACGGTCAAGCTAATTAAGCGCATCTCACCCTCACCTTTACTCATATCTACATCAATGATTAGACGATCATCTAATGCATCAGTGACCGTTGAATCAACATCTTCCTCAAAGGAGCGGTAGAACTGGCTTCATCGCTCTGTCAAATTACCAGGAAAGCCGAGAGAGCCCGAGCACTCACTTTCGCCAGCGTCTCTTTCGAGATAAAGACACATCGGGGAGATTCGCATTCACCTCTAATGCTCAACGCTAAATGTGACCATTTGATTCTGGATCTTTTTTGCGATACTAAAATCACATTCAAGACCGTGAAGTGCTAATCAACTGCGATACGATCAAAATCTTCCAGAAAGAGCAATTATTGAAAAAAGATGATAAATGTGATACGTATTATAAATACAAAATTTGAAAGAATTGCTCGTTTTTTTCAGAGAAAAAGAATCTTGGAAAAAGTAATCTCTTTTCTCTAGCAAACGAGAATTTCAGAAGAAAAATGCGTGACACCTAGGTAAAAAAATGAGACGACAAATTTATTCTCGAACGATAAAGAAGCAACTGTAGGAAAATCTGTGTTCTGCATAAATTATTTCTTAATCAGAAAATTTCAAGGAAAAGTTTTTATTTATTTTTTAATAACGAAATTATCACAAGTGAAAGTTATCATATTCGATGCATAATTTAATATTGAAATCTATATTGTTCAACTTACGATTCTAACAAAACCATAAGCTACATAAAAGTTATAAATGTATGTATTATAAGATAAAAAGGAAATGAAAAAATTTGATCAGCTTGAAGCAAAAAATGAGTCACGATATATATTTACTCATAATTTTGAAAATGTCAATTAAATAATAATAAAATAATACGATCGATTGTGTCTATTCAGACAACAACAATAAAAGTATTAAATCGAGACATAAGATGTTTTAAAATTTTTTTGATGTCTCGTTTTTGGACACGTACATGGTGTTGTCTGAATATCCGCTCTTTTTAATCGAACGATTCGTCGAGAAGAAAACCACGAAGACGCGCGAAGTACGAGTACTTTCTTACATCATGTAAGAAAGAACACATCGGGAGGGAGATGTTCCTCAACGCGACGAGACGGTTCAGAATAGAAACACGTCAGCGCCGCCATAAATCCCTATATGAGGCGCGTAAGACCCCGGCGGGGCCAAGTTTGCGGCGGGTAACGGCAAACGAAAATCCAGATAGGTGTATAGCGGCTGTTTTTAAAGCCCCCGCGGACCGCGAACGAGTTTGCATTTTAAACGAACCCGAACGTTGCCACTGCTGCCTGCCGCCGCCGCCGTCGCTGCGGCGCAATGCCGGGGAGAAAACAGCGCGACACGGCGACCGGCGGAGCGGATTAAAAAAAATTCACAAGGGAGTCGCGCCGCGCCACACCGCTCAGTATCGGGATGCCGCGAATCGCGCGTGGACGAGGGAGAAGAGTCACGTACCGGGTGGTCCGTGCAAATCGTTTCCTCTTCCGGCGCAGATAATAGAGCGCTCGCGCGCGATGAGAAGGAAGGAAGCACCAAAGGAAGAGATCGCGGAATCGCTCAGCGGGCACTTTCGAATGTTTCCGCTCTCCCGAGATATCGGTGAGATGTCTAAACGGCGGGCGAGTTTTCACCGTCAACTAATGCACCGTTCGGGTGCGGTAATTGCGACATTTAAAATATTATAGCATATGTTCAACATAAACTTGACATCCAAATTCGTATAATCTAGTTAAGATGTTCTCAGAATCATTTTTTTTTTTTTTATTGCGATACGTAATTACATATTTACCGATACAGTCTTACACTGCGTTTATTATTACACAATAGCGATGTCACAGGCATGAAAGTACGCAAGAAGAAAGAGCGACTAAAAAAGGTGGTTTTTTTCACTCGTTTTTTGAGCCGTCAATTTTTAGACCGATTTGTGTGCCAAATGATACTCTACAATGAAATATTAATTACAAAGAAGTATCAGGTTAAGGTGACAATCGTTATCATAGCTGGAGAGGGGAGAGAGAGTCACGTATTACCCCGAATCTACAATAGATTTCTAAGCCTTAAGCTAGAAGGAATGGACGAATCACAATCAATTGTTCTCCTCACATTCGACTGTAGTTGGTCAATTTTGTACGGTTTAAGGCTTAAAACACCTATTATAGTTCCGTCTATGCGAAAATCCGTTTTTTTTTTAATTTAAAACAAATTCATTTACAAAATCACCAGAATAAGTGTGATGTTTAATTGATTTCGCCTTCGGCTGGATCGGGAATGGCGCACTTGTACACAGTTCAATTGCACACACCATTCACATCGGCTCGTAATAGGTAATTTTTAACTGCATTATGAGATTATAAATATTACTTTACGTATTCTTACATTTCATTACGATGGAAATTAAAAAAAAAATATACCAAAAGACTATAGGAATGTGAGAACATCTAATATTGAAAAAAATCGATAGCAAGATACATCCAGCTTGGTATTCTTAGCCCTTTTATTATGTATCTAGTTTAATATATTATTTTAAATTAGCCAGTTAGTGGACAATTTATATAAATCCGGCTAGATCAATCTTCCTAAAATACCGGATCTCGAAGATCTATGATAATTCGATAATGAATATCGATTCCACAGCTGTGATAAAAATTGTCACCTCAACTTCGAACTTCTCTGTAATTAATATCTCATTATAAGATTGTAAAACTTGGCACACAGTTCAGTCCCGAAATCGAAAGAAAAAGGGTAATTTTTTTCAGTCACTCTTTTGAAGATCCTCGAAGATTGACTTTAATATATATATATATATGTATATATTAATTTTGTCAGATAGATCTTTGCCACCTGCTGACTGAAATTCTAGATACGCTCGGAGGATCTAAAATGGATGCGATGATTTTCACGACAATATGCTATCATCTCTTTTGACGGTATATCCAGTTTAGAAGCGTCTCCGGTACAACTCTGTACTCGCTATTTAAACGACAATATCACGGAATCCGCAAAGTCGCCGTGTATAAACGCGTCGCCGGTGGCTGTAAAACACAATTCACGCGAGCTCGGTCTCGCTCGGAGAGCGCGTATCAATGAGACGAGGACGACCGCGCTCTGCCTAGTCTCTGCTATTGAAACAGTACCGAAGTAGCGTCGTAACGTTACATAACAATGATACTAGGAAGCGACGGGAAAGTAGCACGACATCGTTGGTGTGCGCGCGCGCGCGCGCGGGCAGGGGGACCGACCGTTAAATATTCTCTCAACGAGGTCGGATTACCTCCATTACACTCGGCAAGCGACGATGATAACGACAATGGCGATACGACGACCCAAGCAGGCAGACCGGCAGGCAGGCAAGCAGGCCTGACCGTAGTACCGAGAAATTCTGACGCAGTTTTGCTGGCACGACAATCACCGAGCTTAGGATATCAGCTCTCCTCGGGGTCGTTTCTTCCAGGCGCGCCGGAGCCTGGAAAGCGTGTGATTGGGTTAGTTTTGGTTTGTTGAGACGAGACACGGTCGGCCGGGCCACCCAGTAGCCATTTAGATAAACGACCGGCCCCTGTTGAGTGCCACGGGATGCCAGCGCGAGAGAAGTCAGAGAAGAGGCAACGGGAAAATAGGAGAGAAAGACAATGCGAGAGAGGAAGAAAAAGAGAGGAGGGGGAAAAGAGAGAGAGAGAGAGAGAGACGGTCGTGTTAACGAGGAATAGAGATCCGCGAGAAGAAAAGTTTCGATCCAAACACTGAAATCATATCCAAGGGGAAAAAGTAAATCGAAATCGAGAAGATGGAACAAAGAGATGCGATGAGACGTAGTGGTTCCGTTCGAGCAGTCACCCTTTCGCCGGAAGCAGAATAGAGTTTATTACAGCATTTCTTCGACTATTGTGTTGCGACGATTGTAGAATTTTTTCGATTAGCGATTAAATTAGATATATTACGAGAGAACGCCCAGAGACATGTCTTCTTTCTCGTAACGGCAGAATTTTAAATTGCTTGACTGTCCTATTTTAGAGAAAAAAAAAAAGAGTTTCTAAGTAAACCCATATAGAACTTTGAGAAACATATTAGATGTATTTTAAATAAATTTGTTTGATTATATTGTATGAAAAAGTATTTATGTGGTGTAACGGAAAATTGCGATGCTATACACAAAAATAAAATTAATTAGAAAATGTAGCAAAGTCCAGAAGAGAAGGAGAATTTAAATCAGCGATTTCCGATTGCAAAATCGTTAATGCATGAATTAGTATGAACTGTCGCACTGCTCTGGTTACTTTAGCATATGCAGTGCTGATGATATTTAGAAGTTATGCTTTATCGGAATATTTCGTCGACGCAATATTCTTATAATCTAAAGGAAGATATTAGAAAGAGATTTCGATATTGGGGCACGGAGATATCGGTTTGAAACGAGCGTATCGAATCCATCCGATGAAATCGCACCGAAGCAATTTCGAACTTCTCCAACGCGGCCACGGCTTCTTTGGTAACTCGAGCCACCGAGCATGGGGATAATTTACAACAAGTGTATCGA